TGTTTCCCTCGAGGAGTTTTGTAGTATCTGGTCTTACATTTAGGTCTGTAGTCCATTTTGAATTTATTTTTGTGGTAGTTTTAGAGAATGTTCTACTTTCATTCTTTTATACACAGCTGTCTAATTTTTCCAGCACCACTTATTAAAGAAATTCTTTTCTCCATTATATATTCTTGCCTCCTTTGTCACATATGATTGGCCATAAGTGCATGGGTTTGTCTCTGGGCATTTTATCCTGTGCCATTGATCTGTATTTCTGGTTCTGGGCCAGTACCATACTATTTTGATGACCATGGTTTTTTTTAGTATAGTCTGATGTCAAGGAGCCTTATTCCTCCAGCTGTTTTTCTTTCTCAAGATTGCTTTGGCTATTTGGAGTCTTTTGTGTTTCCATACAAATAAAAATTTTTTTTTTGTTCTGTGAAAAATGCTGTTGGTAATTTGATAGGGATCGAACTGAATCTGTAGACTGCCTTGGGTAGTAGCGTCATTTTGACAATACTGAGTCTTCCAATCCAATGAAATATCAACTACCTTTTGATTAATGTTTGCATGGGATAGTTTTCCATCCTTTAAAAGTTCCTGTATCCTTATATTTTGTCCCTTTTAACACTTAAAAAAATCAGTCTGACAATCTTGCTTTGATTGGATGGTTTATTTATATTTGATGTAATTACCACTGTAATTACTGCTCTATTTTAGTGTAAATCCGTTATCTTATTTGCTTTTCATTTTCACAGACCAGTCTATGTTTATTTTTTCTCCTTTCTTGCCTTTTGTTGTTGTTGTTCTGTCACTCAGTAGTGTCCACCTTTTTGTGACCCCAAGGACAGAGGCATGCCAGGCTTCCCTGTCCTTCACCAACTCCTGGAGCTTGCTCAAACTCATGTCCATTCAATTGGTGATGCCAACCAACCATTTCATCCTCTGTCGTCCCCTTCTCCTGCCTTCAATCTTTCCCCAGCATCAGGGTCTTTTCCAATGAGTCAGCTCTTCGTATCCGGTGGCCAAAATACTGGAACTTCAGCTTCCGCATCAGCCCTTCCAATGAATATTCAGGGTTGATTTCCTTTAGGATGGACTGGTTGGATCTCCTTGAGTCCAAAGGACTCTCAAGAGTCTTCCCCAGCACCACAGTTCAAAGCATTAATTCTCCGGCACTCAGCCTTCTTTATGGTCCAACTCTTCACATCCATTCATGACTACTGGAAAACCATAGCTTTGTTGGCAAAGTCTTTATTTTTTAATATGCTGTCTAGGTTTATCATAGCTTTTCTTCCAAGGAGCAAGTGTCTTAATTTCATGGCTGCAGTCACCATCTGTAGTGATTTTGGAGTCCAAGAAAATAAAGTCTCTGCTTCCATTGTTTCCCCATCTATTTGCCATGAAGTGATGGGACTGGATGCCATGATCTTTGTTTTTTGAAGTCAGCTCTTTCACTCTCTTCTTTCACCTTCATCAATAGATCCTTTAGATTCTCTTCACTTTCTACCACAAGGGGGGGGGGGTCATCTGCTTATCTGAGGTTATTGATATTTCTCCCAGCAATCTCAATTCCAGCTTGTGCTTCATCCAGCCTATATTTTTCATGATGTGCTCTGCATATAAGTTAAATAAGCAGGGTGACAATATACAGCCTTGACATATTCCTTTCCCAACTTGGAACCAGTCCATTGTTCCATGTCCAGTTCTAACTGTTGCCCATCTGGTGATGTCCATGTGTAGAGTTGTCTCTTGTGTTGTTGGAAGAGGGTGTTTGCTATGACCAGTGCATTCTCTTGACAAAACTCTGTTAGCCTTTGCCCTGCTTCATTTTGTATTCCATGGCCAAACTTGCCTGTTACTCCAGGTATCTCTTGACTTCCTGCTTGTGCATTCCAGTCCCCTATGATGAAAAGGACATCTTTTTTTTGGTGTTAGTTCTAGAAGGTCTTGTAGGTCTTCACAGAGCTGTTCGGCCTCTTTGGCATTACTGGTCGGGGCACAGACTTGGATTACTGTGATACTGAGTGGTTTGCCTTGGAAACGAGCAGAGCTCATTCTGTTGTTTTGAGACTGCACCTAAGTACTGCATTTAGGGTTCCTGTTGACTATGACAGCTACTCCATTTCTTCTAAGGGATTCTCTCTAAAATGTTCTGGTTTCCCTCCTCCATGAGCTTAATTATAGACCCTTTGCTTTTCTTCAAGTGTTTAGAGAAAAACCTTGTCCAGTCTAATATGGATTAGTTATACTTGCTCCTAGATACGGCTAGGACTTACAGAACCAAACACTCCTGACTGGCAGGTCTGTTTTGTTTCGGAACCTCAGGATGTTCTGTTTGCTTCACACATTCACAGCTTTGCCCTCCTGCCCCCCCTCCCTAGTGTTCGTCTCTTTAACTGCCTTCCATCTGACACACTTTAGAATTTCCTTTGGTGCTTTCATTTTCCATTCTTATTTGTCTGAACATGTCTGACTTTTCATTTTGACTTTTCTGCTGAGCTCCGAATTTGAGGTTGGAAGTTACTCTCTCAGCCCCCAAAGGCACCTTTTCACTGCCTTCTCATTTTCACCATTTCCATGAGAAGTCATCTTTAAATCTTACTACTTATTTCTTTTTCTTTAAGGTTGTTTTCCTTTAAGAAATTTTTTTTTTCACTTAAAGTTTTTTTCTCTGATCTTTCAGCAGTTTTACTACCACATATTGAGGCGTGTTATTCATTTTCTTTCTCCTGTGTGGTGTTTATCTAGCTTTTCTGGTTTTTCTCAGCAGGAGGATTTGTCTGAATCACATGCTTATTGTTGATGAAATCCTGGTAATGAGCACTTCACTTAAATGCTTACCAGATACTAGTCAACTGAAGTTAACTATATGTGGTCTAACAGCCTACTGAAGCTGTCTGATTTCCCCTCACACTCCTCATACTTGTTCTAGAATAAACCACTGAAAGCATACTGCATTGCTTCTGAGGTCCTTGCTGAGGGCCATTTCTCTGAGGCACAGTTCTTTTCCTTCTCTTCTCTCAGCACCTTTGCTGGTGCTCGGTGGAGCAGAAGGTTTCTAACCCTTGCTACAAACTGGTGAACCCGACAAAATATGCATACAATATACAAATATCTTGATTATTTTATTTATTTTGAATAAAAAAAGTGGCCAAGATAACAATACTAGTGGCTCTGCATACAAAACACAACATAATTGAGGTTATTTCACATTTACAAAACTGCCATTATGTACAGCACTGGATATTCACAGCAACTTTAATAGACTCTAAGTACTATAATCATAAAGAGCAATTGAGGGGGGAATCCAAAATGGGAAAAAGTTAAAAAAAAAAACCCGATGATCTTCATTAACTGGAAAATTGGCCAACCAGCTAACTGGTAAAGAAAGAGAATTGCTATCCTTTCCTTTAGTAATAACTGAAGTAAGATTGCCCTACAGGACTGCATTTGACAAACACCCTCCAAAATTTCCACTTCATTTTCTCTATAATCTTTCCCACTTCAAACTCTGCCCAGAGACCTCTGCCCTTTTATTGTATAAAAGCTCAGGACACTAGTATATCTTCAGAGCAAGAAGATGACTAGTGCCAAGGAGACAGTATGGTCTGCTTCAGCTCAGGAGACACAGCTGAAATCCAAGAAAAGATTTTGCCCTCTTCCCATCATTAGCACTTTGCAGTTCTCAACACAGTGGAGAAAGTAAACCAAGCTTCACCATCAAGGTAGCAGGAAGCTGCTCACTCCTCTGTGTCACCAGCACCTACGCTGTGCAAGGCACTTCACACTCAGCGCTGCAGGAGCTCCCAAGACAAGACGCCAGTTCCCGCCCTCGAGGGGCTTACAGTCTAATAGTGGACACTATGTACATATGTACAGTGCAGAGAAGCAGCGGATTCCTCTGGATGGGGGTATTCCAAGCAAACTGTGCTATTCAGTCTCAAGGCTGTTTTACTTACACGCTAAAAGTCTAAAACACACCACCTAATCAGATGGTTAAGAATTTTAAAAAGTCTCCTTTCTATAACCCAAGTTTTTGGATGCCTGTTCTTTTTATTTCAAAAAATATTTCAGGTAAACAAACACATAGTTTGAAGCCAAGCAGAAAGATAGCACAGGCATAGGATAAACATAAAATATATACCACTATACACAACACAGACTTATTTTCCTATACTCTTAATTCTGTATACACAAATTTGATATTCACTTTCCTTTCATACACTGAAGTAAAAATCTGTGTCAAAGTCTTTAAAAAGTCATAATTCATTTTTGCATTTAATTTTGCATTAGTACCAAAAACAAAATACCCTTGACCTCACCAATCTATTATCCAAATGTCAAACTGATAAAATACGAAATGCTTCAAAGCCACCACCTCTTATACCATCCAATGAGACCACTTCATGGGACCTTTTTATGAAACTACCAGGATCTCATGATAGTGACGTAAGCAAGTTTTTACCTTAGAAAAAAATTACAAGATTTAGAGTTTTGAAATTCAATCCAGCCAACTCATTAACAGTATTTCCACTAGAGAGCCTGCACCTTCACTTTATCGTATCAGTATGAAAGTACCATCATTCCCTGCTTTGTGGTTCCTCCCAAGCCTGGAATGAACGAATGAACACCATGCAGGGAAGCCACTAATACTGTGCTAAATAAGCTCACTGTCTAGGATCTCAGATCCTATATATAAGTCTCTCCCCTGGAGTATAGTTACAACTTAAAAAAAAAAAGCAAGACAAGAAAAGCTGAATCACCTAATCAAAGAGGCTGTGGGGGGTGAGGGGATGGATGTTAAAACCATGATCCTGTGGTGAGTGGTCACTAGAAGCAACTCTGCAAATCTGACTTAATTCAATCTGTGCTGTGCTGTGCTTAGTCGCCCAGTCATGTCCAACTCTTTGCGACCCCATGGACTGCAGCCCGCCAGACTCCTCTGTCCATGGGGATTCTCCAGGCAAGAGTACTGGAGTGGGTTGTTATGCCCTCCTTCCAACCAGGGATCTTCCCAACCCAGGGACTGAACCCAAGTCTCCTGCATTGCAGGCAGATTCTTTACTGACTGAACCACCAGGGAAGCCCTAATTCATTATGACAGTCAAATTGCATGCACTCTAACATCAGTTTGAACAGCAGACATGAAGATCTTAGCTCCAAAAACTTCTTTTAGGGTCAAGAACAAGCAGTGCAAAAGCTCAATACCTATTAGACTTGAGACATAGCCCAAAACTCTGCTTGTAGCTGCCAGGTGATGCTTCCACTAGAGCTGAAATGCTTCACTTGAGCTCCGTTAGAGGCATTTTAACAGTCCAACAATGTTGAGGGGGAGGCTAGATGCTCAAGCCACTGTGTGGTGACCAGCCCTGCCGAGCTCCACCCACATAGGGAGCAGTAGGAGAGTGCACAGAGGTGATCACACTCGACAGCCCATGGTGGGTTAGTATAAAGAAATGCATTTATCTATCCAGCTCTTTGCTGCCTGTGCTGTCCAATCTCTAAAATGAAAAAAAAGGGGCAAAATCTACCTTTCACTTAAAAATCTGAGGCCTGCTGACCTGGAATATAACCTGAATTTCTGCTTATCTGGACTAACTGATGTGGAGGTGGGGGGGGGGGGGTGACAGGGAGCTGAAATGCAGTCCACTCTGCCTGGAATTCAGTCTGGAGGTGCTGGGCACTCCAACAGGGAGACTTTGAGGAAAAAAATCAGATACAGTTTATTGAGCTCTTAACAGCTAACACTATTATATTACCTTCAGCAAGAAAAACTACTATTTAATAGTTTCTTATAGGAAGGGAGGCCTTCTAGGAATGTAGTTTTTAGAAGTCTTATCACAAACCTAATTTTGTGTCCTAAGGCTGAGAGAACAAAAGGGATGGAAATAGGGCCTCTCCTGGAAGGAGGGGCGAGGCAGTGACGGGTCAGGAGCAGCGGGGACGGACGGACGGACCTGTGGAAGCCAGACACTGACAGCAGCTCCTCCTTTCACTCTGCGAGCCACGGCAACTCGCCTGATGTGGTTCAGCACTGCCCAGGGAGCGGGGACTCCATAAACGCAGCTCCATGTTCTTCCTGACAAGACCCATGAGCCTTGATTTCTTCTGCATCTTAGCTGACACCATCACAATTACAACAGAATATATTTTAATATTTAATTATTACCCCTTGACATTCTTTTAAGCTAATTAACTGATGACGGCTGCTGGTCTAGTCCCCACGCCCAACATTAACACTCTCAAAAACTTCCTAGAGGGAGAAGCAGAAAAATGTCACATCCACCACGAGTTTTGCCAGTGCTTCTAATAATTTCTGACAATGAAAAATAATTGATAGTTTTGGCAGATATGATAGCAGGCAGAGATGGCTTGAAGTCTGGGTCGTGGACACAGGAGGATTTCAGAATGAATATCAAGCCTAACAAGCTATCAATTTCTTATCTAGGATAATAGGAACAAATTAACCTTAGGCAGGGAAGATGTGACACAGGTGTGGATATCAGGCTCCCAAAATGCAGTGCTGCCCTGGCTTAAAAGGTCCAGCCCTGGAGGACCTTTGCTTCTGCACCGTCACACAGAGCGGCAGCATCACTGCCACTGCATCCACGCCTATAGAGCAGTGACAGCTGAAATTAACTTGAAATACACCACCCAGGCCGGGGACATTTCAGGATGGAAGAGAGGTATGGCACGTGTAAACCAGGAGAGACGGCCAGTCTGAAGACTCCCGGTGTCCCGCCCACTCTTCCAGGGCTTCTCTGCTCAGCACTGTCACCATGTAAGCTGACGTTTAGGACATTAGAAGGGTACTGTGTCTGCGATGCTGCCATTAACGCAGTCGCCTCTCATCCTCACAGGTCAATGGATTAACCTCCATGGAGGAGGGGAGGGGTGAGGAAACAGGGGAGGGCTCCTGACTCAGTGTGCAGAAGTTTAGGCTGAGGCAGGTGTTACTTGGACTTCAGAGTCTTTAAGAATGCCATTGGACAGAGCCCCTGTACAGAGAAGCCATGTTCCAGTAAAAGAGTTGCCAAGTTTACCCCTACAGATATACAGAATAACTCAGGCAACCCTTTTAAAGTTCTCCTAAGAGTCAAAATTTCCCCCCAAATGCACAATAGATTTCAATAAAAACTTAATGTATGTTTTAAATGGCAGCACCACAAAGTTCCCCAATAAAAACAAAACAAGCACTAACTCTGACTTCTTGTTGTTGCTCAGTCCCTCAGTCATGTCCAAATCTTTGGGACCCCATGGACTGCAGCATACTAGGCTTTCCTGTCCTTCACCATCTCCCAGAGCTTGCTCAAACTCATGTCCATTGAGTCAGTGATGCCATCCAACCATCTCGTCCTCTGTCGTCCCCTTCTCCTCCTGCCCTCAATCTTTCCCAGCATCAGGGTCTTTTCTAATGAATCAGCTCTTCACATCAAGTGGCCGAAGTATTGGAGCTTCAGCATCAGTCCTTCTAATGAACATTCAGGATTGATTTCTTTTAAGATTGACTGGTTTGATCTTACAGTCCAAGGACCAAAAAAATAAGTGAAACTAAGCTTGCTATGGGGCTTCCCTGGGGTCGCAAAGAGTTGGACACGACTGAAGTGGCTGAGCACACAGGCACACAATGACTGTATGGGCCACAGTAATGCCTTGACAGGCTCTCAGTTTTTACTGTCATCTTTGCTGTAAAGGCTCCAACTTTCTGGGTTGTGCTCTTCATGATCTTAATGCTGCCTAGCTCTCTTTCTCTGACAATCAATTGAACATGGTGGACCCTGAAGTCTGGACAAACACTCCTCTTCAAACTGCCACCAAAATGAGAAAGACAAGTAGAAGACACCAGCAGAATGAAACTGCAGCAGAAATACAGAATTAAACACAGGGGACAACAACTTGAATGGGAAACAAAAGACATTTCCAAGCAGACTATTTGGAAATGCCTCATAACGGCCCGTCTCCAGTACGCATGGACAGAGGGGAGACACTAGGAGGGAAACACCACAGGTGGGAGCAGTGCTTGTGTCACATGCTCTCCGAAGGACGAGTGTTTCTCAGCGAGCCACCTCTGGGAGACAGTGGAGGACAGAGGAGCCTCGCGGGGTGCAGTCTGTGGTGTCACAGAGTCAGACATGACTGAGAGACTGAACAAAAACAACTACTTGGCGAGGGCAAGTCTTTCACTAAGGATACAAAAATGAAAGCAGGAAGAAGTGTTAGTGTGAGTTAAATCTCACATTTTGTATTTCCTATTCAACTTCTCAGAAATATGCACCTTTTCAAGGTGCAGGCATTGCAGTCCTGTTAATTAGCACCAATCCCTCAGATACTTATTTAAAAATCCAAGAACACTGTAGCTCTAGAATGTCTATTTTTGATTTCAGGTTTTAAGACCAATTAAAGTCTAACATCTCTTAACAGCCCACAGAAAAATACCTGTGTTATAAATATCAAGGATCTTTGCAGAGAGAAGGCATTCCCAGGCTCTGGTCGACCCAGCCACATACACCATAGCACCAAGGCTCAAGGGTCCACATTCTGAGCTGTCCAGCTCTCTCTAGAAGTCTCTAGACAGACTTGGGATAGAAATGAGATGTCTGGACATCTCAACATGACAAATAGTAAGGGTTTTAATACTAGGAGAAAATAAAGGAGAAAATGTTCTTTTTCCTCTATGTACAAACATCTCACCTGGTCAGCACAGTTAAGTCTGATGAGAGGTGTGAGGCAGGTGCAGAGGAGTACTATGACACCCTCATACACATGGAGGAGTTGGGGCAGAACTGCCGACACGGGAGAGATCGTTAAAAAATAAGTCACAATTACAAGAGTCACCTGATCTTCCAACACATTACAGCTAACTTTAGTCTTGGCTCTAACCTCTTAAAAATATATGGTTTTAAGAAAATGGTTTCAATACGCACAAAAAAAAACTGGTGGGATGCAGATCTGAAGCTATTTGTTGAGAACAAAATATCAGGCCCACATACTGTTTTAGACATTTGAGTATCTGCTGGACACTGTGTGCCATGTGCCCGGTAACTAAAGCCTCCCGGAGCCACCTGGCCAGGATTAAAGCCTAATTCGGCCCAGCAAGGCCCTTAACCCTTACCCACACTCCCTAGAAGAGGTCACTCTGTTAGGAAACAACAGGGCATCCGCTGTGTTCAAACTGCTTTAGTCAAGACACTTCAACACTTGAAAAATAAGTGATAAGGAGTGGGGGCTAACGTTCATCTCAAAATGACTTAAGATCTCTGCACACAGCCACTGTACAGATATCCTGTAGTCCCTGGAGATGGAGGACACACTTCGGCAGGGAGTTCCCAGGCTTACTGACCATCACAAGGGCACCTTTCCACTTGTGGAGGCCAGGCTTGCGCCAGTGTGTCCCAGCTCTTCAGGCTGGATGACACTCTGTCTTCCCACCATGGACACTCAGAAGACAGGAGAGTCGCAGAAAGGGCAGGGGCTTTGTAGTAACCTCTTGATCCAGTCAGGGTCTGCCAAAGGGAGACAAGCAGTAGTTAGCGCGCTCTTCAGAGAAGGCAGTCAAATGGGACATGCCCTGGGCGACCACAGTGTGCAGAGGTGGGTATTCTGGCCCCACTGCCACCCTACACAGAGGTCCTCACTGTAACATTCCAGACGAGGCTGCACTAAATCTGTGGTTCCCAAAGTTAAATGTGTGATGAAACAGGAAAATAAGGGTAACGAATGAGTGCTTCTCATACATGGTTAATGTTAAAACTTACTTTTGAAAACACTGTGTCAACACTTTCTCTTCCTTTTACAGAACTCCCTGGCCTGCGAAATGCTCTGCCTACTGGTGAGTACTCTCTAGAGCTCAGAGATTCCCACTCTCCCCAGGAGCTGTATGCGGCTCAGTGCAAAGTCAACTGGCAAGTGTGCTTGTTTTGAGTTTGTTCCCATCTTTCCTGATTTCCTGTCTAAACTATAAACCAATTCTCAATTGCAACAAGTGTTTAAAAGTCCCCAAAATTTGTTTCAACATAATGCAATCAGAGAGGGGGAGGAGGACTACAAACAAAAGATTATAAGCTAGTGATTTTTGAAGTTGAATGACAGGTATATAAGAGTTTCTCATTCTCTCTTTCTCTACCTTTAGGATTGCATTTTCCACAATAAAGAGTTGAAACAGAACATAACCTGCCAACACGTCCACTTCTCAGAATTAGAAAGCTTCAGCTAGTTTAGAGCAAAAATCAAGAAGGCTGTGTGGTTTTACACAGAATGTTCTGTGTAAACATTTGAGACCACACATTACCCCCAAAGTGTACACAGCCATATGCGTGTTGTCTAGTAAGCTCATTCAGTTAGTGTGATGTTAATGAACCTCAGGTTATAAACTGACATTCATGTGACTATTTAAATCATCACTTCCTGGCTCATGTCTATGATCTTACCCCAACAGTTGATTCAGGAATGTGCACTTTATCACTAGGGCTATCAGTAAACAGAATATTGATGAACCAGAAAAATAGCCCCACCGTGGCTACTAGAAGGATGCCTCCAAGTGCATGGCCTGTTTCAGCAAGGCTGTCTTTATCTATGTTACCAGCTGCAGAGTTTTCTTTCAAATATAATCTATATATGCCATCTAAAACAAAGTCTTTGACATTTTTTGAATGAATAATTTGCAGTGAAGAACAGCAAACTGCAGCCCTACTTACTCACATAGTATAATGCTATTTGTATGTTGATGATTCCAGTGATCATGTGTTAATCAGTTGAGGGTTCATAACAACACTGTACAGAGCAAAGCGAGCTTGCTCACTGTCCCCGATGGCCAAAGACCAAGGTGGGAGAGAGGGGGGTGCCTCCGAGGCACCAGCACGTGCAGTGTGTTCAACCTCACCCTGCCATGGACAGGGGAGCACCCACCTTCCGGAATTGGATGGCGAGCGATGCTGTCATGGAGCAAACACCTTCTGTATATCAAACTCTGGCAGGACTGGTAGGTTAAAAAGCACCTGAAAGCAGACAGATTGTATCATCAGTGCTACAACAGTGGAAAGCAGCACAGTGTTGAGGGTTAACTCACCATGGACAATTATTCTAAAATGAGTTAACTAAGTAAAGGGCAAAAATGGTTGACAAATTCATGGCAACCATGTATCCCTCTGCACGGGACAGCTGGCCAGACCCACCCCACACTTAGTAAAGGGGAAGTGCCTGTGTCAGGCACCAAGAGATACAAGGCTGCTAATCCAGACAGTCACTGCAGCCCTGGGAAAGAATGCAGTCTGTCTATACCCGACTATACTGTGAATTTTTCATACATTAAAAAAAAATCAACTATGTATTATATCAGAAATTATTGTTAGTGATTTTTAAGATTAGGTATAAGCACAATGTTTAAGACTAATGGCACAGTGGTGAAAACTTGAAAGATATAGAAGACAAAGTTAATGGTACAAAAAAGTAAGGGCCATAAACAATGCTGAGATTCAATTCCATTCAATGACCCTTCACTGAGCATCAGCCAGGACCTGGCAAGTAAGGGAAGGTGGGAGCGATGGGAGGTCAGAGAGAGCTGCTGGGTTCTACAGGGTAGGTTTTCTGAAAGCTAACAGGATTTAGGAAGAGCAATAAGGAGTAAAGCACACACAAAAAAAGAAGGGAGGTGGGGGAAGGAGTTCCCAGTCCGTTTACCTTGAGTAAAGACCTGGGTGCATAGGAAGAAAGACTATACCTGAGTGAGAGCAAGCACCCATTCTCACTGAGAGTTACTTCAGTCAGCAAAAATGAAAATGATTTTTGCGGAAGAAGCCGTTCGAGAGATAACAGTGGACAGAGGTTACACATGAAAACTCTGGATCCAGAAGGCAGGTTCTCAGCTCTGCCACTAACCAGCTGCATGACTGTGGACAAATTACTGGACGTCCCCGGGCCCCAGTTTCCTCGTCTGTGTCCAACATGTGGCTCGAGATGTGTGTGCTGCCGAGCGTCATGCCTGGTATACTGGCAGCACCAAGAGGTGCTGACTGCTGTTGCTACAAGATCACTACGATTCCTAGTCTCCCCTAAAACATAAGTCTGAACAGTTAAATTAGAAAAAGTACAGTACACAATAAAGACTGGACAAAACCCCAATATCAGTCAACAAGAGAGGAAATAATGGAATATCCATACAATGGGAAACTCTGGCTGTTAAGAATGGGATCTATGCTCTGACATAGAAAATAACCACAACATTTTGGTAAGAGAATAAGCAAGTTATTAAGGTAGTTATATGTAGCAAAATCCTGCTTCTATTGAAAATAAATTTAAACAATTTAGTGAGTGCCTACCACATACCAGGCATTGTTCCAGAAATAGCCAGGAACAAAACAACAAAATTCCCTGCCTTCATGAAGCCTTCTACTCCAGAGGGAGGAGAAAAATCCAAAGTAAAAAATATATTAGGTAGTGATAACTGCTAAGGAGGAAAACAGAGCCAGGAAGAGGGATGAAGACCGCCAGGAAGGAGAAGGATGCCATCGGGCGCCATGATGTGGGCAGCCTGGCCGGGAAGGAGGCCCTGCTGGAAGAGAGGTCTGAGCAGAGAGGATGGCTAGCACAGATGTCCGGGGTGGGAGGGAGGTCGCGTGCACCCCAGGGACAAGGAAGCCAGTGCACCCTGAGTGAAGTCAGCAAGTCGGAGAAATGCAGAGATGAGATCAGAGAACGGGTGCGGGCCAGGACATGGGGTCTTGATCACTGAAAGGACTTCAGCTTTTACTCATCAGAAACGGGCAGCCACTAGAGAGCTCTGAGCAGAGGGGTGACATGAGTTGATGAAATTGTTAACAGGATCACAATCTCAGCTTTACTGAGAACAGACTGGAAGGGACAAGGAAAGACATCCAGAAGATGGGTTGGGAGATAACTAATAATCTGGGCAAGAGATGATGTTTCTTGAACCAGGGATATAGAGGTGGAGGTAGTGAGAAAAGCTGGATTCAAATTTGAAATGCCTTTAAAACTTCCAAACAGAGCAACTGAGCAGGTGCTTACATGTGAAGCCTGGACTGAGGGAAGAGATTCAGACTAAAGTGATGTGTAAGTCGCCAGTGCACAGATAATGTGCGGCAGCCTAGAGAATGTGCTCTGGGCTTCCCAGGTGGCGCAGAGGTAACAAATCCACTTGCCAATGCAGGAGCTGCAGGAGGCTTGGTTCGATCCCTGGGTCGGGAAGATCCCCTGGAGAAGGGAATGGCAACCCACTCCAGCGTTCTTGCTTAGAGAAGCCCATGGACAGAGGAGTCTGGTGGGCCACAGTCCATGGGGTCACAAAGACTCGGACATGACTTACCACACACACACTGTAGGGAGAGTGCTGACAGAAGAAAAACAGGTCCAAAGATGGACATCAAGGAGATACTATGTCCAGGAAGCCAGGTGATAAAACAGTGCTCTATGGAGGAGGAGAAGGGAGGGATCAACGGTGTCAAACAGCCCACAGGGCCACAGAGTGGTCCTCTCAGAGTGAGACTGAGGGGAGAGAAGGGTAAGACTTCTACCCTTTGTTAAACCAAACACAGTACAGGAGTACTTTATATTCTATTAACTTTAATCGCCTTTGCTTTCATCATAATGATTTTTAAAAATTCCGCACTAACTTCAAAGTAAAATAGTATTGTGTGTTAGTCACTCAGTCATGTCTGACTCTTTGTGACCCCATGGACTACAGCCCGCCAGGCTCCTCTGTCCATGGAATTTTCCAGGCAAGGATACTGGAGTGGGTTGCCATTTCTTTTTCCAGGGCATCTTCCCAACCCAGGGATCGAACCTGGGTCTCCTGCATTGCAGGTGGTTGCTTTACCATCTGAGCTACTAGAGAAGTCAAATATAGTATTGCCAAAATAAACAAGAGAAACCCCTATTACAAGCAGTTACAAAGAAAACTACTACTAAAGGGTTTCAGTCAAACAGATGGGAAAAAACCACAGTAGGTTTTATGGTAGCAGCTTTTCTCCAACCTGATGGCCTGGGCACCATACCCTTTGGATAAACACTTGACAGTGGTCTGTGGGGCAGAGGGCTGGAAAATGCACGAAAGCAGCTTACCGGAGCCAAATGTGGCCATTGGAGCAGACGGCCTGCTTGCGATCTGTGAAGGGCAAGATCTCCTTACACAAACTACAGTGCTCAGGGAAGGTCTGCTTGTTCATCTTCTTTGAGATGTGTCCAATCAGCACCTAGTAAAACAAAGCGGTCAGTGGCAGTTCATGGTGAGCGCAGGGTTTCCCAACACCAAGAAGAAAAGGACAACTACGCAGTGTCTTCTACCAGAGAGAAGCACTGTGTCCCCAGGTGGGCCCGCCACACTGTGTAGAAAGTAAAGAAGCTGGACCTTTAACTTGTGCCAACTGGTTGAGTAAAATAAAATAAATTCAATCAGGCACCCTGTGACAACGGTGAACTTTACTCACTAAAGGAGAAATGTTGGGGGGGAAAAAAAATCTTATTATTTGCCTTTACTTTCTTTTGAAAGGACTTCAGAGTTCTGTCAGAAGACAAAGTATTCAGCTATACTTACAATGTTTGACTTTTAAGAAAGAAAAGCATAATCTGTACAGGCAAAGTATCATATGAAATACTAACTCTAGAATGAAACAAATGTCTATTCTTTCAGAAAAGCTTACAAAGTAAAAAGATGATCGAGATTAAAAAATAATACCTTCTCCTTCTGATGGCCCAAAGACCCACTACCCATCTAGTGAGCCCGCAACAGGAGGCCCGCCAGCCCCACAGCACAGCTGCGGGAGACCTGCTGTGGGGTGAGGGAGGCATAAGAGCAGCCCGAGGCCTTGGCCCTACTTCAGTTTCGCTTCTTTCTCTGCTTCAGTAGGGCTGCACCACTTCAATGAAAGTCTGAAAAACACTAAATCTACTTCATTATCTTGTTGGAGAAAACCTTCACAAGCTACGTTTTGGGGAGGCATGGAATATGTCATCCTTAAGAACCACCTTGTCTTATTAGCAGATAGTCCTTCAAAGTTATAATCCATTTACACTTGAGCTCTTGTGTAAAAAGAACTTACTAGCTTGCCATTCACTAAAATTAGCTCACTGATGTTCTGAAGGGTATAATAGCTCAGAAGGGTGTCTTACCTACTGTGCATATAATTTGCAAATTTAAAGTCCATTAACTTTTGGCCTTTTTTAAAGGTCTTGAGAATTCTAATTTATGGTCCCATATAGCAAGGACAACTACTGTACCAGGTTTGAAAAGATTCATTTTAGGTACACAGTAGGATTTTAAAACAAGACATGTATTGTTTTCAGTCTAAACTCAGTTGCTGTAGCTGGGCAGAGGTATAATCTTCCTTTCTTTAAACTGGCTCTGTTGGAACCAAACTGTGCTGAATGTAGCGTTCCATGCCCATGTAGCATGTGTGATAATCATTCTAAACCACTGCAAACCAACTTACATTACAGATAGTATTTGTTAATATTTTATGCCAATAATACCCTTACTTGGTCCTATGAACCAGTGGTAATCAGAAAAGTCCTTCACACCATTGAGATCACAATGCAACGATCTTTAAAAGCTGACTTTCCAAGATGAAAGGTCAGTTACATGAGCAGTGCATCCTAACTGCTTCTGAGTGTGACTGAGCACACAGCTGCTGTGCATCAGTAAACTAAGGACGCTGCAGCCAGGAGCCATCGCGCTACCACTGCCCGAGGGTGAGCCCCGAGGGAACTCAGGACGGAGGCAGGACGGCCCCATCTAGCTGTGTCAGCTGCTGCGGTGCCCCCAGTGCGGCATCCTAAGGAGACTCAGGCTGAGACTCACAGGATATGTGGCCCGGGATAGCTGAGGTACACATCAAAGTCATGATTTCAGTGAGCCCAGACCCTGTTATCTTCCCATACAGAGAAAAGCCCTAAATTCCTTAAACTGGTATGTCTTGGTTTCCTTATTTCCAACAAAGACCAACTATGGTCTCTGTTGTAAAAACTCTTAAATATCCTAGCTCCACACCCTTGCCCCTCTGGTGCAGTCTCTCTGAGTTATCTTAGACACTGTGTCCCAGGCTTAAGTCATCAGTTTTCCCTGCTGAATAAAACATAACTCCACTTTTAGGTTGTGCTTTTTTCAGTCAACATCAGATGGCTGCAAACATCCTTAAGAAATAATTTTAGGGGTATATGGATACACACACACAACTTTCCAACAAGAAAATGCAACAAGTGACTTGTGAATGGTTTAACATTAGGCATGAAGATACCTGAATTTATTACCTTCAATTAACATTTTAGATTTTAGATAAGACTTCAGGCAGTGAGAATAAACATCAAACTTCAGAGTAAAAAGGACCATAGTCTTGTCTTCTCGAATATTTTAGTATACAGTATGTTCCTTAAAACAGTTTTTCAGGACTTTAGAAGCTGTCAGCTCAGGATTCTTGATTAAAAAGTCTACACAACACTGAACTGCACAAAATTAAAGGCTTCTTTCCTCTAGGAATTCTCAGAACCCTTACGAGGATGATGTACACTGGAAACCTCTAAGAGGAGTATGGCGTATTTCCCCAAGCTTCGGACCCTACTGTTCTGTCAGAGAATTTAATTCTGTGAAATGCATTTTAGATAACACTGTAAGATTGTTCTACCACCAAAATAAAGATTATACTCAGTTTTTGCAGGGGGGGGGGGGGGCAGGGAACACCCAATGGATAATCATTTTACTTCCAATGCCCTTGTAGGCTAAATCAGAAAACCTCCTGAAGTCCTATCAAATGCAAAGAATCCCCGCCACAGGCCTCCCCCTCCCATCTTTCTGCAGACAGGAAGGGGAGGGAGGGCCTGTCATCCTTCCCCTGCAGTGTCTGCCCAATCGCAGCCCAGTCTGTTCCTAGAGCCCATCCACAGCCTGGAAATCACCCAAACCTTGCACATCAATCAAGGCACCAGTAAGAATAAGAACTGAAATAACTCTTAGTGGGACATGTCCTCTGCATTAATCTGTTTCCTATTTATTTTCCTGCACCTCATGCTCATCGATTACCTAAATATGTCAAAGCAGAAGTTGAGTTTTACGAATTAAGTTTAAGTCATTTCTTTCTTGAGAAGCAAGCAGATTTTTCGGTTTTCAGTGTTTTTGCTGACAAACACCTACCCGTGCGGTTCTGTCATCATACTCCTCGTCAGACATCAGAAAGTTACAGAGTCCCCTGGTGGGGATGCTAGTGTTTTCTGTGATCCAGGTGTGTAGGTATACTTCACCCAGGACTCGCTTCATGTGCTCCCTCGTCAAGTGCATTTCCACTGCTTCAATTTTTCCCTGGATTTCAAGGAGTTTCTCTTCCATTGGCTCTCGGCCTCCAGTATCCCCAGATTGAGGGAGTGAGTCCTCTGTGGGGTCCTCTGGATCACCGTCTTTGCCTTGCTTACTAATCTGTTTGGAAGAAGTGCCTTCCTCCTGCTGTTCATCCTCAGCATTGCCCGTCCCAGGTGAGTCAACTAGTAAGATTTTTGAGTCCTCGTGAGTGGGTTTGCATAAGGCTTCTGAAGGGGTTTTCTGCATCGACTGGTATAAAATCCTCAGGAGGAAGAGTTTGAAACGCCAGTAATAGGTGGCCCCGCTGCTTTCGATCTTTTTTTCCAAAGCTTCATGTAAAAATTGAGGGATATGCTTATCCTTTAAAATCTTCCAGCGTACTAGGTCTATTAAATCTACCTGCTTGAAGAGATTCTGGACAGAAGACTCCAGAAGCTGAGCAGCTGCCTCTTCAAAGGTTTTGAGAGTAACGAACTGAACCTGGTAGTTTTTGTTAACGGGATGGAGGCCGTTGACCATGCCCTCAGTGGTGATGACGGCCAGGTATGCGCCACAGGGGCTCACGGCTATCCCGTGTGTCCTCACGGAGCCAAACACATCGGAGAGTTTAATCAGCTGGTGCTCAAACTTCAACGCCACATCTGTGAAAATGGGGATCAGTTGCCTCACCTTGCCGTCACTGGAGCAAGTGTACACCGTCCCATTCTGCTTGTCAGCAGTCATGGAGACGATTGGCAGGGAGTGCAGGCCCGTGACGTGAGAGTTGTGAACATTCAGACCTGCTTTGGAGATCAGGAGAAGACACCAAAACACATAGGATCCTCGTGCGGCCACCACTAAGCTACAGCTGCACTTCTGGTAAGGGTGGTACAGTGGCACACACTTGATGCTGTGGACTGGCAACTGGTCCATTTCTTTCCACAAGACTACAGGCTGCCTTAAGGTAAAATAGCCTTTAACTGCTTTAAGATTGACAGGAAGGATTTTTACAGGCCCAAAAGCACTCCCCACAATAAGGCCACTCATTTTCCGATTGTTGTGCTCGTATTCCCACCAAAACAAAACACTAGGAGAGTTGATTCCTGACTCAATTGTGTTGCATGAAGAGATAGACTCCTTTCCTACAAACGGGAGCTGGAATTGCCACACAGCAATGTTCCCGTTTTCAAAGAGGACAGCCAGGAGCACACTGCCCACGTCGCGGCACTCATTGTTGTGCTTGACCTGCTGGGTGGTACAGATGCCTGACCACTCCATCCGGACTGGCGCCTGCATGCTGTGACGCCTCTGAAACTCGGCGAAATCCCTGAGATTGCCCTCCGGGGCCTCATTTCTGGAGAACCTGTAGCTGGTCTCATAGAGACGCTCTCCATAAATCTCTGTCAGATCCACCAGCTGGACCCACTGCAGTCTGTTGAGGTTAGCCTGGATGGTCAGGCGATTGTCCATGGTCAGTGCGGCCAAGAGGCACCTCCCATTAGCATCACAGCCCACGGGGGACCAGCTAGTGTACTTGAACCCTCTCAGTGGTGGCAGAGCCTTCCCCTCAGGGTTGAACACCCTGTCCAACATGAAAGTCTGACTGACTGTGGGGTCTTCAGAGGTGGCAAATCTCTGTTTACACTCGGCAACTTCCCTTTTTGAGCCAACCTGAAAATAAGATATAAAAACTATCAGATAAATATTTCACTCTAAGAGGAATAGATTTACATTGCATAGGGTGGATTAATTGATCCACATAAATATGTACAGTAATTTGACATCAATTCTATTAATTTTGACATGGCATGCATTTAAAAGATCAAGTACATGTCTAAAACTAAACAAGCATTTACTCAGAAAATGGCAATTTTTAAAATTTTAGTTTGTTTATAGGAAATGGCAGTATTTTTAAGGGTCACAGAAAGTGCTGTGGTTACTCACAGCCTGGTTCCCACCTTCTTCTCAGAATTAACAAACGCAGTAGCAATGACAGAAGTATACTTGATTCTAAACAGTCAACTAAGCATTCTGTTAAACTAGTCACAAAACAATAAAGGAGTTAAAAAGTCATGAAAAGATATGTATCTGTATCTATATATAAATATAGATATTTTTGATACAATTAGATGTTTGGATTTTTAACAATATCTTTGCGGTATAAGTCTCCCATCTGAAATTTCACTGACCGATTACTCTGAGAACCAGCTCCAACAGCTCTTTCCACTGTTTCTACAGAATAATGTCCACCCCACCTTCCCTGGCTCCCCCTTGTGTAGAATTATCTTTCCTCCTATCTGAACCCATCTATCCTACCAGGTCAAGCTCTATGAGACTTTCTGAGAACATTCTAGCTTTCACTTCTCTCTCTCTCCTCCAAGTTTGCAACATACACGAGCAGTTCTATTTATTTAATGTCTAGGTGTACAATGGTAAGCTCTTTAGAAACATTTTAAAGGAACGTTAAAGATGGAGGAGAGAGAAATGACCAAAAGAAGGTGATCCAGAGTTGTAAGAAGATAGCCAGGAAGACTAAAGCCAAAGAGAGCAGAGGTCAATTAGAAATGATTTCTGTTATGTCAGAAGTAGGAAGAAGGACTTGATCCACTGTCTTTTCTTCTTTTCCATAGATGCTTATCTTCAAACTGGAAAGGGTAGATTAAACATGATTAATAAGGAATTCTAGCCTAAATATACATGGATATAACAAAAACAAACAAACAAAACTCACTTTAAATGAGTTTAAGTCCCCAAGCCCAGAAGAATTACATTCCAGAACACAGGCGATGAACTCAGAACTATAACATTCCTCAATAAAGCTTGGACAACTGGAAATGTGTCAGAAAACCATAATGCAATGAATAGTTAGCTGCTAGATCACATTAACAAATAAGCTTATAAAGTGAAAGGTAGATAAAGATCCCCTGGAGAAGGAAATGGCAACCCACTCCAGTATTCTTGCTGGGAAAATCCCACTGAGAGAGGAGCCTGGCAGGCTAATCCATGGGGTCACAAAGAGTTGGATGCGACTGTCCACACAGACATAGATACAAATTCCACAAATGAATTAGAAGACTAACTTTTTTTAAAGTGTGTTAAACAGAACATCACTCCACTAAATTGCCCCTTGAAAAAAGAGTTTTGTAATTGTTTTGAAAATGCTGTTTATTATCCATTATTCCCCCTTCAAGAGTTACAGCCAGGAGCTACTATAGAGTAGCTCTGGAGCTACTACAGGGCTACAGTTATCTACACTTTTTTTAACAACAGAGCCTTATGGCATTGGCTGGGGGTGGGGGGTGAGGGCGGGTGCTGTGCGGGGGCTGTCAGCTTTCCTTATCCTAAGTAACACTCTGGAAATGGGCTCTTAGGCAGTGTATCTTAATTTCAGGGTAGTCTCTTGGATACAACTATGGATATACTGGAGAAAAACAGACCAGAAATTCCAATTAAATATAGGTATCACTGGCTAGTCTGTTAATAAAATGATGCTAATCAAAGCCCACAGCTTTGTATGGGGCATATAAAATTTGATTGAAAATCTGCACTCTGATGCCAGATTGCCTGGATTCAAATCCTGGCTCTGTCACATACTAGCTCTGTGACCCTGAGCAAATTGTTTAAACCTTCTGGCTTTAATTTCCTCATCTATAAAGAGTGCAATGACACGTTCTCATAGAGTTAGGGTTAATTAAGTCAATATTTGTAAAGCATATATTAATAAATACTCAATAAATGTTATCTATGATGACAAGTAGTAGCACTCTCTGAGGATTAAGTAAATGTTAACAAGACATAATAAAAGTAAAATGCAGGTTAGGTAGGTATTAAGTTGTCTGCCAAATGGAGGGTGGATATAAAATTATTCACCAAATCCCATAATACTACAAACTAAGCAATAATCCTCAGACTAGGATAATTTACTTCAATAAAAACTACTATAGAACTGAAAATAAACTTAGAGAATGCATAACCCCAAACAACAGTATAGAATGAAATAAAGGAAGCTCAAGCTTGATCCTAACTCAGAGCAGCAAGAATCCTTAATAGGATGGAAAGCAGCTTGGATGTCAGCCAGTAAGGAAAATCCTTAGGGTTTTGTGCAATAATTTCCATTTTAGGTAATCTGAACTAACCTACTGCACCTTCCCTCAATTCTTCACATCATAAAACTAGTTAATGAATCAAAACAAGTACTCAGATGCCCCAGGAGCATGTTAAGAGTCCAGCTCTCAGAGGCTGACCCCCAGTCAATCTTTTCACTATATGCTATCCTGTTTCCAGTTGGCCACTATGACAACTAATCATCACGTACTTTGTAAGCACCTAACAAAAACTCACTTGAAGCTCATAGACAGTAAGCTTCTTGAGGGCAGGAATATAATTCAAAAAAGACAGGAAAGTTATTTAACTTAATGGAATAGATGGAATTGATATTACTAAAGTTCCTAACTGTTGAAACAAATAAAAGTAGTCATGCACATATTATTAGATTTTGGAACCGTGTGCAACTAGATGATTCACTAAATCAGCAGTCCAATGGGAAGAGAAAATCGCAAACTTGTTCTTAAGTCACTACTTCACTGGTTCTCAGATTTATACCATTCACCTTTATATCAGTGCCCAGGGCAGTAACTTGCAAAGTATACTTGCAAAGATAATATGTGAACTATTCTTTAACTGTGTATTTTCCTGAAAAAACTCATCATCTAAATAATGATCAGAGCAAAAGCTTCAAAGAGGTTTAGCATCTAGCCTCTAGCATTTAGCATCACTAAAACTGTGATCTAGGTTGCAGGAGTCCATCTTCCTTGTTGGAGCAAACTGGACAGCACCAAAGAGATTTCAATCCACAGGGACTGTCAGTGGGCAGTGTCATCAAAGTACAGACAGAGAGTTCCTTACATTCCCACCATTACTCCAGTTTTATCCCACAGAGGCCTCTCTCACAACTGCAGGGACATCTTGGCCTTCGTTTCCCAGGCAGGGCCTGCGAATAAGACTGCCAACCGACCGGTGCTTTCTGTGAGGCGCACACCAAAGCAGAAGGGGAAGACACCACTGACTGATTTCAGGAAAGCAATTGATTACTAGAGGGATATATAAGGATTTCCTACTACTCATTTTCCAGTTGTGGAACCAATGACAAGAATCAAATTTTTATCAGAATACAGTAATAAGAAATAACTGTGTATCCGTGGCCAAGCATTAACCCAGACTCCTTCCCTCATACGTGCATGACTGCTTTATCCTGAGCAGTTACAGTGTGCCAGGAACTGTGCGAAGTGGTCACACGCGTGTACACATGGACACATGAGCATGCATATATCCACATACAGTAATATATTTTAACTTAGTCTTCTAAAGATGCTAAACAAAGTAGGCTTTATTATCCTTTTATAGATAGACCTGGCTTGCTATCTTGTGCCAAAGTGTAATCTCTTAACCCCTGTTTTATGCTGACTCCAACAATCACCTACTTGCTTCTGGTCCAGCGGGAGTCACATTCCTGCACCACAGCAGGTCAGTCCTCATCTATGATGCTGTAACAGCACCTCAGGGCTTCCTAAACTGAAGTCAACCATCTCAGACTGACCTTCCAAGTTCCCAAACTGATCTCACTTTACTGTCTCTGACTCTCTAGGAAAGCTACTTGACCTCAGCTGTAAACCCAGCATCATTTACACAAGCAACCAGAAGCTGCGTTCATGACTTATGTGTCTGTGCACAAGATGGGCACCTTATTCCTGGCACCTGGATGACCCCTTCCTCCCTTCTTTTTACAACCCAAACCCTACATTTTTTTTAGCTCTGCTGCAGATTCACCACCAAATAACCTTCCCTGATAAAAGCATCTCGGTTCAGCATTCCTTCACTTCTTTAAATTCTCTCTGCTGAAGCATTAAGTCTACCACACTGAGACATACACTTAAAATTTTCTCTAGCTGATGTGCATATGGTTAGTAACAGTAAGTTCCTTTTCAGCAGAGGATACACCTTTTAAAACCCCTCTGTTCTGCCTCCCTCCTTGAGTGTTTCTCAGTTTCACAGGATCACCAACACCTATTCATCTGACTGGTTTATCAGTTGAGTTGCTCAGGCGTGTCCGACTCTTTGCGACCCCATGGACAGTTGCAAGCCAGGCTTGCTTGTCCATCACCAACTTCCAGGCGACTGGTTTATACTTGAATCAATTTGTTCACACCTTGTCCAAGATCTTTGAAGGTTTAGTCATACCAACTTATCAATGATCTAATGCAACATCAAACTGTCACTTTCAAACCTGGATTAAGTATGCTAAAAAGTGGTGTGGGTTCTCTGCACCCCATTCAGTTACTGATCTATATTTTAAATGGCTTGGCAGAGTAGTTTTTTTTTTTTAAAACTTCACATTCACAGAAATACCTTCTCTGTATATAGATACATATTACAACTTATCATTACCTATTATTACATTGTTATTTGTTTCTGACCTGTCAAAAGAATGAATGCAAACTCCAAGAGGACAGGGATTTTTTTTGTTTTTGTACAATGTTTTACTTCTGGAGCCTAGATTGATGTCTAGCTGATACATTGTTGCTGTTGTTTCAGTCACTAAGTCCTACCAAGTCCTATCCCACCCTTTGGTAACCCCATGGACTGTGTAGCCCCCCAGGCTTCTCAGCCCATGAGATTTCCATAGTGGTATTCAAAAATGTGTTCAGAGAATGAACGTACACTTTGATAATCACACATATACATACAGACCTATAAAGGAAACAGTAATAAAGTTTTAATATTTTTAAACCATTAAAATGAACAACACGACTTCCTACTTTGAAACATGATCGAACAATAAAACTTTAGCAGCTTTAAAGTTCTGAAGGCAAACAGTTAATATGAAGCCAAAAGCACTAATCTACACGAAGCATTAAATCTATACGAAGATCTTAAATTTAAGAGCTACACTTATTTTCAGAAGCTTTATTTTTTATTCTACACCCCAAAGCCTTTTCGTTATTGAAGAAAAACTGGAGTACTAACCCCTGGCATCCAGTATCTATCCATCTGCCCAAGATGAGAAAGACCACTCATATAACAAAATCACTGAAATAGTTAAAGACAAAGAAAAAAAAAAAAAAAAACCCACACCAATTTTCTCTCTTCCAAAGCCAACTAGGCGGAAGAGGAGGGCACATCACAGTAAACAAAGCCAGCCCGGAGCCTCGGGGAGCAGGCCCCAGACAATAGGAGCGGGTGGCAGAGGCAGGTCTGGGGCTGGGTCAACAGGGGGGTGGAGCCTCAGAAAGCACCAAGGGAACAAATCTGCGGTAGCAGCCGGCCAGACGCCGGGCCACAGGGAGAACTCGGCTCCGGAGAGGGACCTTCCGAAATGTACCTGTGTCTCGGGAGTGGGTGGGCGATCCGGGAAACTGGGCATACACGGCGTTTTTTTTTTTTTTCCCCACTTAAGCTACGGCGGCGACCCTAAAGACTCAGTGCGAGGAGGCGGGAATCCCCGGCCGAGGCGTGGGCCCGGGGATTCCCCCAGGGACCCGCGGGGACGTGGCCGCGGGGTGGGGGAGGGAAGGAGGCGGGCAGGAGACCCCAGAGCCCGGGGCGGCGGGCACGACTTACTTTGAGGAAGCAGCTGTGGAGAGGCGCGGGCACCGATGTGCGGTGGATAACCAGGTCCTGGCCCGGGTTGTGCACGTCGCAGATGAGTTCCAGCACGGCGATGCTGCGGGCCGTGGACACCGACACGCGGTGGTCCTCGGACCACGCCAGCGGCTCCAGGCCGCTCACCGCGTACTGCAGCCTCACCGCCGGCTCCCGCCGGGTCACCAGGAGGCGGAAGGCCGTGCTGGGCCCTGGGGCCGCGTCCGCCGCCGGCTCCTTCCCGACCGCCTCGGAGCCCTCCACCTCCTCGGGCGGCGCGGGCCGCTCGGCCGCGGGCCCCACCCGCGTTAGGGCCGTGTTCATCTCTCCTCGGAGGCAGAGGCCGGGCTCCCGGGCGCGCGCCAACCTCCCCCTCAAGCGGTTTTCTCCCCCTCAGGCCCGGAGCGCCGCCGAGCCACGGAGGACCCCGCCGTTGCTAGGCAACCCAGCCCCTGCCGGGTGGCCGAGGCGCTGCCTGTAAAAAAAATAAATTAAAAAAAATCTCACCTTGTGGTGGGGCCGGATCGCGGGTGGGCGAGGGGCAGGGAGTCCCCCCCACCCCCGCCCCCAGCTCCTGACAACTAAAGTGCTGAGGAGAGTCAAAGGAGGAGGCGTTGGTTTGATGGGACACGCCTCTCCTCGTTCCAGAGAGGAATTTCAAAAGAACGTCAAGGGCAATAATTCTGGGGTTCGGTGTGACTTGGCATCCCCCCATCCCCCGGCACAAGCCGCGCCACGAGAGACGGCCCTGTGGCCCGGGGCGCCGCGGCTCCGGCCGCTAGTGGCGCGGGCCCCTTCGTGAGGGGGGCGGGGGACCTCAGAAAGCGCGCGCGGGCGCGCAGGACTCGGCGGGACAGCTACAGCGGGGTCCTCGCGCGCGTCCCACGTGGGGTCTAGCAGCGCCTCGCTCCGGGTTTCGCGAGATCCGGACGCGCCTCTCTGTCGACATGGCAGCCGTCAGCGGAGTTCTTCCTCAGGTCCCCGAGCCCCGGGCCGCCGTCTTCAGAACCTTCTCCAAACCCCGCCCGGCCCACGCGAGGCGGGTGAGTTCTGATCCGGTTTTCCAGATGCGTTCGCTCCCGGGGGACTCCGAGCGCCGGGAAGCTGCCGTCCAGGCCTTCTCCGTCGGGATTCGAATTAATTTCGCGGAGTTGAGGTGGGGAAAAGTCAGACATCGGGCAGCTCCCGGAGGAGTCGCTGAGCCGCGCGTGTCTTAAGAGCCGACCACGACCCGTGCAAACGCGCTCGGAGCGGGAGCGGAGCGGGCGGAGGCGGGCGGAGCTGGCTGGGGCCGCTTGTTAGTTGAAGGCGGGGATGAGAGACTTGTCACTCGAAGTTAGAAACGGACTCTCGGGGCGTTGAGGCCCTTAGCAGCCCCGTCTTCTAATCTTCTCTCAGCCACTCTTAAGGGTCAGTTTGTGTCGGGAATGAGGACTGGAGACTAGAAATTTCTTTGAAGAAGTGTTCGAAACCGAGATATATATATCGACGCGCCACGAAGGGGTGGGGGGCGGGGAAGAAAAATACAACTCATCAATATAATATCTTCGTTAGAGAGGCAAAGATGCCTGAAATTTAGCCCAAACCAGAGCAGAAAATTGGTTTTTAGGTCTGACTTAGCTCCTAACTAAGAGGAGGAATACAGGACAGAAAATCTGTTGAAAAATCTTATTGCCTTAATGACCAGGAAGGATACAGTTTGCTGCCAAGGAAAGTGTGCGTATGTGTGTGTTTTCTCAAAAACGCATCATTTAATGCCATTGAAAAATTTTTTGTCAAAGTTCGGTTCAGTTCCTTTCAAACAGTATAGTGCCGCTGAAGTTCCTTGAGTTCACATCAGCTCATAGCAAATGTCTGGTTTATTGTCTAGACTTTTTTCGTGGTGATTTAGGATTTAGAAGCTTGTGAGTAAAACTTTTCGACTGGGCGATGTTGTGGCTTCATCTATACTGAAAGGGGAGGGAAGTACAAAAGAGCCAGTTGGGCACAGGGGATTTGGAATAGGACAGACCTGGGATTAGATGCCAGCGTTGCAACATGCTGGTTCTGTGACCTTGAAGAAATTTCTTCATCTCCCTGATCCTCACTTTTCCTACCTATTATATGAGAACAGTAATTTTGACTTTGTATAAAGTTATAAGTCATATTGACTCCATTTTGGGTGATAGAATTGCTCCATCAGGTCAGTAAGGTGCTTATACCAAGTACATGCAAGACATAGAAAACACTTACTAAAAGTTCATTGAGTGGGTTGAATAAATAAATGTAAGATATCTGGTTTTATGATTGCTTGAACCACTGTATCAAAAGGATATTGTTTAACAGCTCTCTGTCTGTGTTGGCTTGTCTGCATATTTGATATGTCTTGAATGAGAATTCTGTGTATGCTGACCAAATTTGCTAATAGCTTGAACTTGGCATGAGTAGCTAATGTACTGGACTTGGAAAGACCTTGACAGCTTAAATTATGCTCTAACACTACACGGAGTGTTTTTCCTTAAAAAAAAAAAAATATATATATATATATGTATATATATATGTATATATGTACACACACAGATTTATTGTAGGAAATATATAAATATATGTACATACATATAAATACATGTATATGTATATAAATATATATGTGTGTATATATATATATATATATATATATATACACACACACAGATTTATTGTAGGAAATTTGAAAAGTAGATTAAAAAAAAAACCCCACAGTTGCCATACTCAGAGATAACTCTGGGTAACTTTGTGAAGTATATCCTTCTAGAAAAGAAGCAGATTAAAATAGGGGTTAAACTGTACATGATGTTTTCTAACCAAACAGGATACAGTTTCTAAATGGTGTTGCAGCATTACTGTTAGTAACTAGGCTGTGGAATCAATGCTTGGTCAAAGCCTTGATCCCTCAGTGATGCTGGGACAGGTCACCTCCCATTGCCACCTTAGTGTTGTTATCTTAAGATGGGGTAATACCAGTACTGTATGGCCCAGTGATATCACTCATGTAAGTACTTAGCATACTGGCTGGTGCATAGTAACTATTTAATATGCTTGTTAATATCAAAGACTCGACATGTAGACTGTTTGAGGGCTGGATGGGCCCTAGAGGTTGTCTGCCATGTCCCCTCATTAGGCAGGTGGGGGAGCGGACTCAAGGACTTGCATATTTTTAAAAAGATCCGGGTATGTCTTTTCTCCTCCGTACTCAGCTGCCACCCCATGAAGCATTCCTGTATCTTTGCCTCCCTCCCCCTCACCATGGGCCATGATAGTCTTCTTGTTTTGTGCCCTTAAAACGCTTTGTCCACACCTGTTCTGTAGTACAGCTACAGGTTTGGTTTGCAGTCTCACACTTTTGTCTCGTCCACTTGTCTCTGACTTCTTCATGGGCTTGTCAGATCTTTGTACCTTTAGAACTAGGCTACTTGACAGCTACTAAGTGGGCAGTTTTTTTAATGAATATGTTGTGGATGCTGGGGGCAAGGGGATTGACAAGTAGAACAGTGTCCAGAGTACAGAAAAGGGTCATTCCATGACGTGTTGTCCATTCATCCTGCAAGTGTTTATTGAGCACTTACTTTGCGCCAGACACGGTCCTGTGCAGAGGATGCAGTGCTATCCAGCAGAGGCTTGTCCGTTTATAACAATCTAATGGGAAAGACAGACATCACACAGCGAATGACACCCTGTCTTTACTGTTTCACTGAGTGCTATGAGGAGAAGGGCGCCAGGAGAGCCGAGGACAGGGACCCTGGTTTGATAGGTGGAGGCAGGAAGTCTGGAATGGCTCCTCTGAGGATGCAGCAGGTGAGCCTGGATTTGAGGAATGAGTACAAGAGGGTAGGTTAGGGACACGGGTTTGGGAGTAGCACGTGCAAAGGCCCTGAGGAGAGAAGGAGCTCAGAACATCCTCAGAATTTAAGGAAGACCAGGATGGCAGAGAGTAAAGCCGAGGCTGGTGAGATGGGCAAAGGCAGATTCTTCATAGCTCAGGTCACACATTCTGGATTTTAGCCTGAGTGCAATGGAAAGCCCGCCTGATATTGTGTTTAACTTGAAACACTTAGACGTTGACATGGGAATAAAGAATGACTAGGATGATAAGGGGTCTAAAGTTTGTGTCCTGTTTGGGATATTTAGTCCAAAGAAGGAGAAAAAAAATGGAATTCTGTGGTGAACAAAGGAGTGTTGTATACAAGAGTTGGTTCCAAGAACAAACTGCAGACTAGGACTTGGATCTTCCAGGAAACACGTTTTGCCTGATGTCAGAAAGAACTTCCTGACCCCTGGAATTTGGTCGGGAACAGAATGGGCTGCCTCACGGGGTGGAGAACAGTAGGAGGAGGTGCAGGCAGGAGCTGCAGGGCCGCCTGGCAGGGTTCCTATGATGGGAGGTCCACACAAGCGCAGCGAGAGAGGCCTTTAGGCCTTTTTGTGCTTCAAGAGCCTGTGATTCTATAAACCAAGTAAGATCTGCACATTTCATCCCATCTTGCAAATGAGACCTGATTCTTGACTTCATCTCTTTTTAGTCTGAAAATTCGGGATTTTGTAAAAATAAATTTGTGACATTTGTAAAATGAAGCAGATTATCAATACTAAATGTTAATACCAATGCTAAATATTAATACCAAATATTTGAAGTTATATATATTGAATTACCTAGCTATAGATGCCCTTAAGGTTGCCAGAAACAGAGAACTGTTGTCATCGCCAAAGTTATATATATTGAATTACCTAGCTATAGATGCCCTTAAGGTTGCCAGAAACAGAGAACTGTTGTCATCGCCAGGTTAGTCAGAAGCTGACAGTCACGGCTAAAGCAAACTGATGTCTGCACACAGAAGTCATGATCTCAAGCCAAGAGGAAGATAGCATATTCCAAGAGAAATCAGAACTCCAAAATAATAAGCCCCAGCTACTCAAGGGATGTTTGTATATTCATGTATAATGTAAATGGGAAGAGAAGGTCAAGGAAAATAGAGGAATTGGATATTCTTCTCCTAGCGGAAGTTTGGACATCATGCATTTAACAACATTCATGTTATGGAAATAAGAAGCAACAGGCAAGAAAATATCTCATGTTGTAGCCTGTAATCGGTGATCAGATGGGGAATGGAAAGGCGAAGAGCGTTGGAAATAATTGCAATGGAGGTGATGGATGGAGCAGAATTCTCGTTTGGAATGGAAGCTGGGAGGAGGAATCGTCTCCAAACCCCCTGAATCTGGGGGAGCAGCATGAGGGCAGAGAATGACAGCCATCCAAGCGCTCAGGCTAGGCGGTGATGGAGGTTTCCGCTTCCTGGGCACGTGCCGTAACCGATGGGCTTTGTTGGTGGAGAGAGGAAAGATTCATGGCTCCTCCTCCCCGTGCTTGCCGTGTAAATGGCTTCCCAGGGATTTGGATCGCCTTAGCTGCACACTGCACTAGGTGGGTCCTCCTTTCCCTGCAGACAGACTCCAGTTGTT